ATAAATGCCCTCTTTTATACATAAAAGAGGGCATTTATATATATATATATATATATATATATATATATGCAAGGCCTCGTCTCATACTCATTGAAATTAATAGGAACTGTTTCACTGACTTCAAAAGCCCTTGTTCAGGCCTATAATTATTCTATGCCAGTGGTTTTCCACCTTTTTTCATTTGTGGATCCCTAAAAAAGCTTTGAATGGAGATACGGACCCCTTTGAAAAACTTAGACATAATCTGCGGAACCCCACAGGCCTGCAGACCATGGGTTGAAAGCTACTGTTCTATAGTAACTACAACCTTTCGTGGATCCCTTAGACACAGTCTGCAAGCCCCCAGAAGTCCGCAGACCACAGGATGAAAATCACTAGTCTATGCAATTGTGTGCTGATATCTTTTATTCTCATCCTTCCAGCCCTGCCTCTGGCAATTGTACATCTTGGGAGCACAATCAGTGCTGATCACCAGCTCCATAAGGAGTTAGAAGCAAGAATTGGGGAGGCAAGTGGAGCTTTTTTGAGACTGGCAAATATTTGAAAAGAAGGAGGTTCACGCAAGAACCAAGGTAAAGTTATACATGTTAGAGGGCTTTCCCTTCACCCTCCCACTTCTCTGTTTCTTGTCACGCAGACAGCAAGCAGCAAAAGACCTGAAGTCTGAAGCGCAGAAAATGCGATGTTTATTGGGGTTAGTTTCCAAGCAAGTATATTCCGAAGCCCTTCACACCAGTCAGCTTTATCTCTATACCATAGAGTCTGTTCCCCAGTGTTCCGTTTCCAGCTCTGATGCCACTGAGCATTTTGGGTTCCCAAACTTGGTTTGTGGCTTGTTCAGGGTAAGCCCCTGGTGGGCTGCAAAATGCTTTGTTTACCTGAGTGTCCGCGGGTATGGCGCTCGCAGCTCCCAGTGGCCACGGTTCGCTGTTCCCGGGCAATGGAAACTGTGGGAAGTGGTGGCCCAGCCCGCGCCGCTTCCTGCAGCTCCCATTGGCTGGGAACAGTGAACCACGGCCACTGGGAGCTGCGAGCAGCCATACCTACAGATGCTCAAGTAAACAAAGCATCTCGCGGCCCGCCAGGGGCTTACCCTGAACAAGCCACAAACCAAGTTTGGCAACCCTTGCCACAGAGCGTTTACCCCGTGTCCCCCTTCCTAGCTCTGATGCCGCAGAGCCTTGCCTGTGTCCCTGTTCCCCATTCCCTATTCCCGTTCCCATCTGCCCCCCCTTAACAAACATGATTCCAATTTCCCTTCCACTTCCTGTTTGACCCCATTTATATAGTAATATTCTCAGTTATACCTTAACCAATCATTTTACTGAAATTTAACTAACCAATCCTAACATATTGTAATATAATTCTCTAACCAATTATATTCCACTACCCTAATTAACTTACACCTAGCAAAATTAATTATACAGCAGACAGAAATAATTAGGGAACCAGATAGAGTAACAATAAAAAAGTGGGGGCCATAAAGATAAAACAATACAGAAATGAGGGTTTCACAACCACAACCATTGATAAGTGATTTCTTGCCAGACAGGATGCTATCTCTTAAGATCTGTCTCTTTATCTGGTGGTGATGGGCATTATGATGACAGGATGGTCTTCCTAACAGCCCAATACCACCTTACTTCAGTGTGACTGGTTTGGAATGTGAGGCTGTGACCATACGCTTCCCAGCTGCTTAGCCAAAGGCCTTAGCCTAAGAACAAGGCCTCAGACTAGCCTAGTGAGAGAAGGCTCATACACGGGCAGACTGTGATTTTGATTCTTTGTTTTTATACTCCTATAACTAGCTAAGTGATAAAAATACACCTAAGTTCTTAAAGTATAGACCTTTACAGGCAGGCCTGAATATCTATATTCTAACAATACACTGTCATTGTGACACTCACATTGGTATACGCTTCTGAAACTTGGTAAATGCTAGAAGCCCACAACAGGAAACTTAACACATTCCATCAGAAATGCTCACAGAAAATATTTGCTGTGCCCTGGTAGAATAAACAACAAGGAGTCTGGTGGCACCTTAAAGACTAACAGATTTATTTGGGCATAAGCTTTTGTGGGTAAAAACCTCACTTCTTCAGATGCACGAAAGCTTATGCCCAAATAAATCTGTTAGTCTTTAAGGTGCCGCCAGATTCCTTGTTTCTTTTTGTAGATACAGACTAACATGGCTACCCCCTGATACCTGGTAGAATAAAGTAACTAACTACAACAATCAGGGGCCAGACACCTCAGGAAGAGGACAAGGGTCTGAACCCCAAAGAATAAGCAATTGAATCAACTGATTGTATACTATATTATTGTACTATAAAAGCATATTAAGTAAGGTGTCATATAAAAACTGATGACATACTGATCAGGAATATTATTGTTTGATGAACGTGCAGATGGTGTATAAAGAGTATGTGTTGGAAATATGTTCGGAAAATATGTTTTTGGGGCATACTTGATAAACAAGCTTGGCTTAGACAAAGGAACATGGGTTCACCTGTTTTTTTCAAGCTTTGTAAGCCAGAGGATAATGAAAGTACATTTACATATAAGGTAACAAAGCAATCAAGGTAACAAGTGACAGCTTAGTGAGCACACTGGGGGACAGAGCCTGCACCCCAGGGCACTGTCCTGGCTCTTGAGGCAGAAACAATGGACTTAGGGTAATATAAGGGGAGCAAAAAGGCATTTTAGGTATCCATCACTGGGAGGACATAGGGTATTACACCCTTTGAGCCTAGGAAAGTTGAATCCCTTAGTCTGGAAAACTAGGGATACCGGTAACTTGATATAAGTAAGGCAACTGCTTAGGCAAAGATTGCAACGTGCTAAAATTAAGTTTTAGTCACTAGAAAGTATATTTTGTTTATAACCATACCTGTCTCTTTTATTCTTGTTTAGCATCACTTACATGTCTATTGTTTGTTAATAAACTTATTCTTGCTTTCTTACAAAATTATCTCAGTGCTGTGTATTAAAGTGAAGTGTGAGTCTTCAGCTAACTTAACAGGCTGATGTGTGCTTTGGCTCAATAATTTTG